CTATTTTGGCTCCCGGATTTCTAGTTTGCATTTTTTGTTACATTCCTTGTATTTAAGGAACGCCAATCCCGTCCCTTCCATCTTATATTTTATAAATGCCATTCTCTTTGCCTTAACATGTAGTTTTACAGTTTTATTTAGCCATATCGGTTTAGTCTTTGATCTTTTGTTTTTGTTACCCAATGGTATACACTTTGAAATGGCAATATGTAATGTGTTCCTGAAGCAGTCCCACATTTTATCTGTGTTTAGGTTGTGAAATGAGTTTTCCCATTTTATTTCCCCCACTAGTTTGCGCAACTTATCGAAGTTTGCCCTTCTGAAATTTAGGGTTCTTGTCCGTCCCGCCCTCTTTCCTTTCCTGTATTTAATATTGATTAATAGCCAAGGTGTCAGGAAGCCCGTACACAGCGGATGACCCACAGTGTCAGGCCGGGCCGTGCACTATCGCATAGACGTCCGTGCGCACACCCGCGACGTATTGTGGCGCCAAACGGGCTATTTAAGCTCAGCCCCTCCATGTCTCCAGTGCTGAGTACTCTTTCAGCTTGTGCCTTGTATCCTGTACCTGTTTCCTGTCGTGTTGTTCCCTGTTGCTGACCCCGGCTTGTTCCTGACTTTGCTGATCTTCTGGTATCCTGACCCTGGCTTGTTTGACGATTCTCCTGCCTTCTGCTTTTTCCTTTACCGCCTGCACGTTATTGAACCCCGCCTGTGACCCGACCACGAGTTTGCTTTCTGTTACAGTACCTTCCTGTCTGCACGTTGCCAACCCGGTCGGCCCGACTTCGAGTATCTTCCGCCTGCCGCCCCACGGTGTGTTTATACGAGCTTACGCAGCAAGGGGCCAACGGACTTCCACCTAGCACCCAGGTCTGCATTTCCAGCACTCCTGCCCCACTGTGCCCCAGAATACCTGTAATCACTACCAGGCTTTCTGTGACGAGAGTTGCAAGAGAGAGGCCGCCCTCGTCATCTCAAGCTCCATCAGGTACGTGATACAAGGATACGACCTTGAGAGGTCTGGGACTGCTGAGGTAAGTTCTTTCAGAATCCTCCATCATCCTGTCTTATTGGAGGACCATGAGGTTCAGGGAGAGGAGGAAAGCATGGTGCTTAGTCAGCAGAATAGAGTTGAGGCTTCTGCCCCATCTGCTACATGTGCCATTGGTGATGATGAAGAACCTTTGCACTCATAGGTGGTGAATATTATTCCTTCTAGATCAGACACCCTAGTGAGAATGCAATACTGCAGGGTCACAGGCACATTGTCACCATGAAACATAGACACCGCTACTGGATAGTCTGAATTTGACCCTCACTAGAAAATCAAAATTGGGAAAATTTTGGCTTTTTAAAAATGTTTTGAAGCTGCCCTCTGCCTCACGCTCACCTAAGAGTTTCCTGACCAAAAACACGAGGCACGTGGAGACCCTTCCGCCCCTCCACCTCATTGAGAAGCTGCACTACCACCAACAGTGACCGCTGCCATCTGCATAGTGTTATGGCAAACGTCTTCATGATAGAGCCACGGATGGAGGTGATGGACCATGACCATAATCAGCCAGATGCTTGTGAGTTCCGGAAAACCATCAGATTGGGGAAATATCGCTCTCTGCTCTCACTGGGCTGTTGAATCATGAAGTGAATGTCTGGTTTGTACCCAGAATTTGGTACGAAGCATTCAGAATTAAAGGAGAACTATGAGTTGAATGCTTTTCACTCACCTCATAGTTCTAGCCGACCTGTGACAATGAGACTTTCACAAGTCGGCTCAGTAGATCGGGAACACATACCGGTGTTCACTCACCTCTCGATCCTGTCACGGCTCTCTGCCGTGACAGGGGAGGGGCGGGATTCCCCCCTCCCCGCTCCGATCCTCCAGCGCTGACTGGCGGAACGGACGGGGGAGGGGGCGGGTACAGCTGGCTCTGCCTCTAGATAGGCAGAGCCAGCTGTCACTCACGCAGCTGGGCGGATCCCGGCACAATTGTCGGGATCCGCTTCAGCGTCTCAGTATACCGCGAGCTGTAGCTCCCTATATACTGAGCCTAGGGTGACAGAAGAATGCTAGTTTGTGTCCTCCCGTTACCCTAAGGAGAACTATGGGGAAAAGCCTTAACCCCATAGTTCTCCTTTAAGAGCCCAGAAGCCGACATGTTATATATAATGAAATGATCACAGAAAAGCAAACCTTTGTAAACATTTTATTTGCTGGCGCTTATCTTGTTACATTGTAGCACACTGAGGTTCCATATACAGGAAGATTCTGTTCAGACAACTCACAGCAAACAATCAAATTCAGATCTGTACCTAAATATGATGGTTGAAGAATGAATGATGTCATTTGATTGGTTCATATGAGTTTTCCTAATCGATTTTTCCTCCAATAGTTTTATACATAAGAGCACAATGGCTGGAAGAATAGATACTTCAGACTGAGTCTGTAAAACAATTATTGCACTTCAAAACTGTGACATTTTCCCTGAAAATATCAATCCAAGGACACTTATCTTTTTTTTTTATGTTCTAATGCTTTGTGTGATGTTTATGTATGATGTGATCCTGGCTCCAAAGAGCTTACAATCTGAAGAGAAGGGGGATGGAGGGAAGCGGTGTAGCGATAGATTGGAAGTTGGACTGTGATGGGATACATCTGGGTAGATCAGGTAGGTGGAGAAAAACCCAACATGGCTCATGGATGGCTGACTCCCTAGTACTTCCAATGCTACGGTAAGTACAGATTTGTATCTTTCCAAATCAAGTATTATGAAAATAACTGAGCTCACCTCCTCTATTGGACACAATGTATATCGAAGTATATATAAGACTCATCCAATATTTCATGAGTAATGATCCCTCTACATGTCAGACCCCGAGGAGCAATCATGACATGCTTATAGATTATATGAACCTGTATCTATTTTGCCCAACTTCCTTATTGATGAATAACCAATACAGTAGCAGAAATGTATTCAGTCCTCATCTGTGTTACACCTCGGGGGATGGAAGGAAGCACACAAGGAGACAGTCTCCCCTGTATGACTGCAGGTACTGGACCAGAGGAGCCGTCCATGCTCACTCACTCTACTAATCAACTATTTATTGCTTTACCTTTTATCACCGGTCCATTGGTAAACCATCTTATAATTGAAATATGGGGAAAAGCCTTAACCCCATAGTTCTCCTTTAAGAGCCCAGAAGCCGACATGTTATATATAATGAAATGATCACAGAAAAGCAAACCTTTGTAAACATTTTATTTGCTGGCGCTTATCTTGTTACATTGTAGCACACTGAGGTTCCATATACAGGAAGATTCTGTTCAGACAACTCACAGCAAACAATCAAATTCAGATCTGTACCTAAATATGATGGTTGAAGAATGAATGATGTCATTTGATTGGTTCATATGAGTTTTCCTAATCGATTTTTCCTCCAATAGTTTTATACATAAGAGCACAATGGCTGGAAGAATAGATACTTCAGACTGAGTCTGTAAAACAATTATTGCACTTCAAAACTGTGACATTTTCCCTGAAAATATCAATCCAAGGACACTTATCTTTTTTTTTTATGTTCTAATGCTTTGTGTGATGTTTATGTATGATGTGATCCTGGCTCCAAAGAGCTTACAATCTGAAGAGAAGGGGGATGGAGGGAAGCGGTGTAGCGATAGATTGGAAGTTGGACTGTGATGGGATACATCTGGGTAGATCAGGTAGGTGGAGAAAAACCCAACATGGCTCATGGATGGCTGACTCCCTAGTACTTCCAATGCTACGGTAAGTACAGATTTGTATCTTTCCAAATCAAGTATTATGAAAATAACTGAGCTCACCTCCTCTATTGGACACAATGTATATCGAAGTATATATAAGACTCATCCAATATTTCATGAGTAATGATCCCTCTACATGTCAGACCCCGAGGAGCAATCATGACATGCTTATAGATTATATGAACCTGTATCTATTTTGCCCAACTTCCTTATTGATGAATAACCAATACAGTAGCAGAAATGTATTCAGTCCTCATCTGTGTTACACCTCGGGGGATGGAAGGAAGCACACAAGGAGACAGTCTCCCCTGTATGACTGCAGGTACTGGACCAGAGGAGCCGTCCATGCTCACTCACTCTACTAATCAACTATTTATTGCTTTACCTTTTATCACCGGTCCATTGGTAAACCATCTTATAATTGAAATGATTTATTTGGGAGAAGAGGTATTTTTAGTAATCGCGATTCCAGAGATTTGTGCCCCCCCCCCCCCCCCCCCCCCGCCGCCGCCC